GTCCGATAGTGGCAACATGCCCGCCAACACTTCGAGACTCATCGTATGAGTCGAGTGCATGCATCCTAACGCGATACGAAGACAACGATACTGTATACGTTCCAGTTTGATGATGTGAGTTTCAGCCGCCGATTGGAAGCAAAAACTACCGTACTCTAAAACCGATAAAATCGTTGTCCGGTACAACGTTAGAAGATCTTGCGGATGAGCTCCCCACCACGTTCCGGTAATTGTTCGGAGAAAATTGATCCTTTGTTGACATTTTCGTCTCAGATACTCAATGTGGGATCTCCAGGTGCATTTGGAATCGAACCAGATCCCAAGATATTTGAAAGACATGGAATGAGTCATCGGTCTACCCAAAAGTTGAAGCTTCGGTTGTGCTGGGCTATGCTTCCTAGAAAAAATGACCAACTCAGTTTTCTCCGTGGAGAATTCGATACCTAGCTGGATAGCCCAAGTAGACAAAAGGTATCCTGTAAGGGTCCTTGCAGGTTGACCCCTTTGGGCCCTGTCATAGACACTACGCCATCATCTGCAAGTTGTCTCAACGTGCAATTGTCACTAAGACAATTGTCAATTTCTCTAACGTAGAAATTGTACAAAAGGGGGCTTAAACATGAGCCCTGGGGGAGACCCATGAAACTAAATCGAGAAGCTGTAGAGTTTCCATGAGAAAAGCTCATATGTTTCTCTGACAGCAAATTGTACAAAAAGTTATTAATTAATGGAGAAAGGCCACAAGCGTGGAGTTTGTCTGAAAGGACTTCAACCGATACTGAATCAAAAGCCCCCTTGATATCCAAGAAGACAGAAGCCATTTGCTCTTTTTTAGCAAAAGCTAACTGAATTTCAGTGGAAAGCAACGCGAGACAGTCGTTCGTTCCCTTACCCCTACGGAAACCAAATTGAGTATCTCCAACAATTTTCGAATGCACGATAACATCGCGATGAGACGATACGAGTTGTGATCTGAGGCGGGTTTTCCAGGCTTTTTAATGGCTATAACTCTCACCCGCCTCCAATCATCCGGAACAATATTAAGCTCCAGGAACTGACAAAACAAGTTCAACATGCGCCTCTTAGCGACGTCTGGGAGGTTCTTCAACAAGTTGAACTTGATTCTATCAGCCCCCGGAGCCGAATTTCCACACGAAAGGAGCGCGAGTGAGAGCTCCAGCATTGAAAAAGGCTGGCTGATCTCGTCTACCGAATTCGTCGTTTCGCGAGGAATCATCTGTGTCGCCACAGAATCAGGACATAAAGGGCGAACACGAAATTATTGCGACACCGAAAATTTCATGCCAATTTTCTTATAATGTTTAGAATCAAACCAAAATTTTAGGGTAGTTTTATAAATATATTTACTTCAAAAATCAAAAGAAAAGTTAATCGATGGAGCCTTGAGTGTAAAATTGAACGCATTTTCGCTTGATGCCCTCCATCAAAGTCTTTACAGTGTCATCCGGTACCAGTTTCTCAGTTTTTTTTTTTCCATTTTCTTAACATGTCCTTCTCGTCTTTGACTGTCTTCTTGCTCTTCCGAAGTTCCCGCTTCATTATTGCCCAGTACTGCTCCACCGGGCGCAGCTCTGGACAGTTTGGCGGATTCATGTCCTTTGGAACAAAATGGACAGAATTGGCCTCATACCACTCCAGGACACTTTTAGAATAGTGGCATGATGCCAAATCTGGCCAAAATAGCGGAGCTTCGTCGTGCTGCTGCAAGAACGGCAAAAGGCGCTTCTCGAGGTACTCAGATTTGTAGATCTCGTCATTTACTGTGCCCTTTGTCACGAAAGGCTCACTCCTCAGTCCGCAAGAGCAGATGGCCTGCCAAATGAGATATTTGGAGGCGAACTTCGACATTTTCTTCTTCTTAAATTTGTCGTCCACATCGAACTTGCTCTTGCCGGTGAAAAACTCCAACCCCGGAATTTGCTTAAAATCGGCTTTTATATACGTTTCGTCGTCCATCACACAGCAGCCATATTTTGTCAGCATCTTCTCGTAGAGCTTCCGTGCCCGAGTTTTAGCCGTCGATTGTTGCCGCTCATCGCGGTTTGGGAAGTTATGTACCTTGTATGTATGTAGTCCAGCTCTCTTCTTTGCATTCTGGACGTAGCTCTGCGACATGCCGATCTTTTTAGCCAAATCACGGCTTGAGACGTTGGGATTTGCTTTAATCATCCGCTTCACCTTTCCCTCCGTCTTTTTGTTCTCCGGTCCCGGTTTTCTTCCAGCTCGTTTGCCGTGGTCCAACGTCAACCGCTCCTGGAACCGCTTCAACACTCTGGAGACGGTTGAATGGTGAATGTTCAACATTTTTCCCAACTGCCGGTGCGACAGATCAGGAAATTCCAGGTGTTTGGAAAGAATTTGTTCTCTCAACTCGCGTTGGTTCACCTCCATTTTCGTTGAATCGAAAAACACGACTTCGAGTTTGACAGCATGTACACAATACACATCAATGAGAAAGTGTGCAAAATTTGGTTGATTTTTACCCAATGGTAAAAAAGTTATGCCCTGTTGAATGTATCGCAATAATTTCGTGTTCGCCGTTTACTTTTCGGGCGAACTTGAGAATCCAACTATCCGAGTACTCCTCACTCTCGTTGTTCGAAGACCGATTACGCATCCTTCGCGCTGCATTCCAAAGCGTATTCATCGACGTTTCGCGCGATAATCCGTCCACGAATTGCCGCCAGTATCCGCGTTTCTTGGCTTTGATGAGGCCCTTGAGTTCGCGTTCAAGAGCCGAGTACGCTTCGAAATGTACGGGTGTTCCACGTTTCCGGAAAGCTTAAACGCGTCGGACTTTTTACGATAAACCTCAGTGCATTGCTGGTTCCACCAAAGGGAAGGAGGTTTCCTACCGAAAGACGTTCCTGGAACCGGCCGAGTTTGAGCTTGAAGCGCGCTGTCTAAGATCAGATTGGAGAGGAAGTTATATTCCTCCAACGGTGGAAGCTCTTCTACCGACGTTAGAGCATCTTCTATCACATTTTTGAACTTTGTCCAATCGATATTACGTGTAAGATCGTACACTGGTTACTGAAACTTTGATCGGCAAGTGATCACTACCGTGGGGATCTTCGATCACATTCCACGTGAAATCCAACGATAATGAGTTAGAGCAAAGCGTGTGGTCTAATCTTCTTCCATTCGAGGATGGGCCAGCCAAACGTGTTACTTCTCCATTGTTTAGAATTGTCATATTAAAGCTGTCGCAGAGGTCATATATCAAAGTAGAACGGTTGTCATCATACAGTTCCCCCCAGCCTGTACCGTGGGAATTCAAATCTCCCATAATCAACTGTGGAGCAGGAAGTACCGAACAGATATCTGAAAGTTGTTTGCGATTAACAACGGCTCTAGCAGGAATATAAACAGAAGCAATACAAAGGCTCTTACCTTTAATAATAGCCTGACATGCGACAACTTCAATACCGGGGAATTCGGGAAGATTCACTCTATAGAAGGAATGGCACTTTTTGATCCCCAAAAGTACCCCTCCTCCACGCGAATCCTCACGATCCAGTCGAATAATGTTAAAATCATGAAAAGGAAGATCTATATCTGAAGAGAGCCAAGTCTCACAAAGAGCAAATGCATCACAATCATTATTGTGAACTAAAAACTTAAAAGAATCTAATTTAGGAATGAGACTTCGACAATTCCACTGTAGAACAATGATCGAATCCCCGACCTCGTTTGGAAAATTATCCATCGAAGGAAATGATTGCTGCAATGAGGGGCCACTTCAATGTCAATTGCTTCAAGAGGGTCTTCACAGTAGGAAGCATTGCCAGAACAATGCTTTTAAGAGGATCAGAAATATTCAGGTACTTGAGAATATCGTCCACAATTTTATCAAATGAGAACAACCCAGATGAAGAAGGGGCTTCTGTTCTTAAAAATGGGCCATCAGGGGTTTTTGATTTCCCCGGGAGAGATGGAAAATTCTGGTTATAGTCAGTTCTGCGGAAACCAGGAGGAGTTGAAACTTCCTTTTTCCATCACTCCTTGATTTGGGTAAGCTGATTTGGGGTTCCTTATCTGCAACTTTCCGTGCAGAACCTTCCGGAAAACTGAAAGAAACTCCCTCCTCAGCCAAGTCAGAGTCAGACTCGTCATCAGACAAAACAGCAAAGGGATTTTTGTCGTTGGTTGATGGTGTGGCTGTTTTTAGCATTGCTGCAAAAGACTGCCTGGAACGCTCCTTAAGAGAGCGTTCTAGTTTCTCCCCGCGTTGTTTGTACGCCGGGCATGACGAGAGACCATGAGGAGTTCCCTTACAGTACACCCATTTTGGTGCAGTGACTGTGCAGGCGCCATCCTCGTGCTTCTCTCCGCATTTGGAACAGCGTGCCTTGCTGCCACAGTGAGAGGCCGTATGTCCCAACTCTTTGCAGTTTTGGCAGTTCATGACCCGAGGAACAAACAAGCGCACAGGTAGCCGAAGCTTTCCCCACTCGATGTAGTGAGAAAGGGTTGAACCAGAAAAGGTCACCCGAAACGAGTCTGTGGGGGTAAAGTTCTTTTTACCCTCGCTGAAAGATACTGAGTTCATCTTCTGGACTTCCAGTATCTCAACCGTGGGAAGCAAGGGGTTCTTGAAACGGCCAACCACTTGCTTCGCTAAGATTTCGGGGGTCAGACTCGCTTCGGTGACCACAAAAACTTTGAATTGAATCTTTGTTTAATTTAGGATAAAATTTATAAATCTATAATTTTGTAATTAATAATTAAATTAGTAAGAAAAAAATATTTGGGCTTGTTTTGGTTCGTGTTAAACAATCATCAAATGAGAAGGAAATTTCTTGAAAATCAATGTAATTAGAGAAAGTATTCTAAATATCAATATTCACTTAGTGTATCGTGGAAATAGTATATAGTTTTGGTTCAATTTCTCTAAGGTCGTACCCCGTCGACCCCTATCAGCTTCACAGGGAGAATTTCTTTCCTAAAAACTTACTCACTTTTGTTCCTACGAACGATCACAACGTGTAATAATAAATACTTGAACTATAAATACTTAAAGTTAAGCAACCATTGAGCAGCTTGTTTTACGTATGATTATTATTGCTCCAACAAGTTCATTTGTCTTTCCTGGGGAAAAAAACAACCACTAATACTATACATTTGTTCCGCTTCTTTTTCACGTTCAGGTTGGTGCGCCGTAAATGTAAATAAAATTGATTCCTAAATTCTAACAATTTCCTCATTTTTTTTTAATCATTCGAACAATTCTCTGTACCATTGCTAGCGAAAAGCGAAAATTTCACTTGAATTAAATGTGACGCTATCTCGCTATACCTTTGCACGAATGCACACATTTTAGGTGACTCTCACAATACCGTTTGAACGCGAGGTGCGTGTATTAATTCATGGGAAATTGCCGGCTCAAGAAATATGAATGGGCAGTATCGTTTCGAAGCTTGCGAAAATGCCGATATTTTAATTACGCAACTCAGCGTTGGAAACTGCTAGATGAAAAACAAATCCCACCTTTTCCGATTCTCTCCCCGTTCTCTTAACTTACACATTCTTCGAATAAAGAAAATTGCTAAACGATTACTTTAATCACAAGGGCGCTTGTTCTTTGTTTCTTCGACCTTTTGTTTGTTTGCTTTAATTGTACCGCTCTGTTTTAAAAAGAAAAATAAAGCAGCACGAATAATGACAGCAGGGTTGCCAAACCCTACTTTTTAGGCACTTCTTGTTCATAACTACTGTTGCTGCTGCTGCTGCTGCGCTTTAGAAGCCTTCGCGAGCCTTCCGGAACTTCATTCCCTTTGGGGTATCCTCAACGCAGGGCACCTGCACCAAATTGAAGTAGATCGATCCTGCGGAGGAAATGAGAAAAGCAAAATACAAATAGTTGCAAAGTCTGCCGGCAAGAGTCGCGACAATGACACTGTTAGGTGTGAATTTCGCACAGTCTATTCAACGTCTAGAAACATGCTCATTATCTACGCCAGAGGTGCTATTCGCTTGGTGGAGTAGACACGAAGCGAAGGTACGTTCAACCTACCCATGACCTGCGCCGCCGACGTGTTGGTCTTCTTGAGACAGTCATACAGCATGTCGTCGCACTTGCAGTGAGACCTGGAAGATAGATTCAAACGAATTGAGGTTAGGTAAATCCATGAGGCTTCAAATCATTGTACATGCATTCGACCCATTACTTACTTGGTATAGATCGAATTATTGCTAAGATTGTACCGCTTCTGGTACGCTCGGACCTTCAACGGACAGAGATCGTGCGTCCGGCAGCACCGGTCCATCGTGGCGTCTTCACCCAGGTCGTAGTAGGTATCCGCAATGTCCCCGGTTCCGCACCACTTGGTCCCGGGGATGATGCCACTGAACAGCGAAAACGGACTGGTGTAGAAGATGCCCCGCTTGCTGCTGCCCTGATCTCGCACTCCGTTGGTTATCAGCTGGAAAATTCCTACCGCCGTTGTGGTGGAATCCGCTCCATCTTGGTTGTCGTCGCCGTCGCCGTCGTCGTCATCGTTCATGCGGTAACCGACGGCGTCCATGGCGGCCGACGCCGGTGGAGAGCTCGTTGCGCGGAATTTGTTCTTCGCGTTAATTCGGTCCACTTGTTCGCACTGGTCCATCAGTTTGATCATGTCCCGGAACGATATCTCCAGCGGCCGGTTGATGGCCGAGAGGTTTCGGAGCAGAGCATGGCCTTCGGAGTCTTTGCTGTGGGTGGGGTTTGGAATTACGGAGATAGGTTGTAGTGAACTACGGTTTAAAAATAGTTTTTGGATTTTTTATAAACACATTCAATTAGCTAACTTTTAACTCAATTTTAAATGATGTAAAGCCACGAATAGTAATTCAAAGTATAGTTGAAGATGCTAATTTCAAATAACAGACTGTAGTGGTAATTTGTATACGATCGATGGAGTAGATGAAAGCATAGAGTTGATAGTTCCGTTAGAGTACGGCAGTGTGAAGATTGCATATAGACATTAGAATAGCGAGCTAGGACAACTTTTAAGGAAGGTACAAATCGGTTTTTTCATCTCTCTTCACCAAACTCCCCCTTTGGAGAGGGATGGTGAGGGGTCCCCCCCCCCCCGCCACCACTGGCAAAAAGAGATGAAAACCGACCCGCTCAAGTACCAACTGTGTGTTTGAAACAGTTCTACCGATTTTTTACCGCACTTCAGTTGTTATTTGAAGGAAGGCATCCAGTCGTAGGTTTGGAAATTGCAACTATTGTTTACCCCTACCACGATATGTGCTCCTGTCATCGTCGACTTGACGATCTCGAGGGGAGCATACCATCAATTACTCAGCTTTTGTTCTTACTGTTCAGCTTGAATTGTTACTTGGGTAGTCAGTGCCACTCGTTGCATTTTCGGCATTTTAGTTCTTCTAAAATGACAGCCTACCTTTCTAATCCCAAGCAGCGGCAGAAGTAGAGACAAGGTAGAGGAGCTTTTGAGGAATAGCTCCAGGTAGAAGTGGGCTGTGACGACATAGGAAGTATTAACATTTGTATTTCTGTGTTTTAATTGCTATATTGCGCTGCATTTTCAAACAGCATTTCAAATATATAACTCAATTATGGCACTTAAATAGCTTCCACATGAACATCGAAATAAATCGGGCACTTGTGTCCACATTGTGTTAACTACACTTAAAAATGAGAGGAATATTATACTGTCACCAATTGTTGTTTACAATAATGATCATACCTTTTGCCACACATATGCTTGAGTGGTCCAGTAGGTATGATTAATGCCTGTGAATCAACGACTGCCGGTTCGAATCCCGAAATGCAAAGGTAATTTTTAGATTTATAATAATAATATAAATATGTACATCCAATTAATCAGCACCTTGCTGAACAAATGTTTGAAAAGACTGTTATTTAATGCCTTAAAAAGCTTATAATTTATATAACTGTTAAGCTTTCAGCTGATTAAAATCACCAGATTTGGATGTTTAAAAGCTGAACAAAGGTTAACGTGGTCTATGTACAACAATTATTCAAACTAAGGCTGAACTAAAATCGGTTGAACAACACTTGTTAAGCATCAAATTGTTACTTGGGTACATTTAACCAATTAGGCTATCAAAATGTTTGTAGTGCATGGCTGATTTGTGGAGTAGTGTTAAGCTAAAATAAGGCTTGTTCAATCTTTAGATCAGCTAACTTATTGAGGTTGAATTATGCGAATACAACATGCACTACTAATCAACTATATATTCAGCCTGCTGTTAATCAGCTTTGTACACCTTAAATTAACCAATAATCAGCTTTTGTTCTTACTGTTCAGCTTGAATTGTTACTTGGGTTATGCTCCGGTTTCGTTTTCTCCAAAAAAATGCATGAAATTATTCTCAGGATGCCCTTGGAATTATCCTCTGAATTTCACGGAGGTTATACCAACAATCAATACGAAACTAACGATTTTAAATTGGCTCACTACTTGACTAGCCTGTTGGTCCCAAGCAAGCGATTAACGTACCCCATTCTAGTCAAAATTCTAGTACTACACAATGTTTGTTTTGATTCGCTATGAAAGTTTGAGATATAAAATGAGGGGTTAGTTGATTTTTTTTATGTTTCGAGGGGTGCATCGATTAGCCTGGGACCGAAGAAAGTACCAGAGCTGAGCCAAAATGTTGAGCACGTTTCTTCGGGAACTTCTAGTCTTAGAGTTACCTCTATGGTACTTCCATAGAGGTAACTCTAAGACTATAAGGTCCCGAAGAAACGTGCTCAACTTTTTGGTATTATCTTCGGTCCCAAGCTTATCGATGCACCCCTCGAAACATATGAAAATCCACGAACCCCTCATTTTATCTGTCAAACTTTCATAGCAAATCAAAACAAGCATAGTGTAGTACTAGAATTTCGACTAGAATGGGGTACGTTAATCGATTTGCTTGGAACCAATAGGCTAGTCAAGTAATGAGCCATTTTAAAATCGTTAGTTTCGAATTGATTGTTGGTTATACTCCTCTTTGAAATTCTACTTAAAACTCTCAGGCTTTACATGAAATCTAAAATTCCTCAGTACCAGGGCTCTGCATATTCGAAGCTCCAAACTCAAGTTTTGTTTTAAATAAAAATATCAACAGAATAAACTTGAAAATTCCGGTACCATAATTGAAGAGCATTCTAAGCAGCTTCTGCTCCAAAATGCATTTTAGAATTTGATTTCAAAATATTCAAATCTGGAGGGCAGAGATACAAATAATAATACTTTCCCAGGGCTGGTAGCGAGTCAGTTTTTAGTGACGGTCTCCTTTTTTAAGACCAAGTCAATAAAGTCACTTTTTCTTAACATTAAACATTTTTTAACGTGAATTTTCAATCAATTTTCAAGATTGATCATTCTTCTTGCAGTGTGTAGGATAGGACCACATTTTGTTCTAATTTTTGAACAATTCAAAGTTGACGACCTTATTGTGGCATACCGGCGCATTTATCACAGCGTCAAGCTGTCAAGTGACGCTGCGATGTTTTGTTTACGCCCAACTGGCAGCACTGCTGGCAGCATAAAAAGATAAACAAAATATACGGAAGAGTTCAGTTGACTCGTGAGCTTAAAGCAAACTAGTCTATTTTCATTATACGGTCCGGTAGTTTCTCCTCTATTCCCAGTGAAATTAATACTTGCCATACGAACATAAAAGTGGCGACGGGTAGGAAACGATTCCCTTCACCTTTTTGTTTTCGCGTGCGATTTGGTGAAAAGTGAAACCGCAGTGCTATTCGTGCAGAAAAAAAAAAAGTACGCCAGCAGCATCGAGTGTGTACAACATCGGCGGGTGCATACGGAGGCATAGTGGTCATCAAGCGGAGAGATATTTTCTTTCCCAGGAGGGACTAGTTTAGCCGAGGTAAAAGCCGCCGGTATTTTTCGGGTTTTAGCGGAGGCAAAAGAACCGTAAGTAGAGTGAAAAGTGGACAAACTGAAGTGTGAAAACCTTTTGTCGGCGGGAATCGCCATTGTTCACAGCGTGCCGGTGACTGCCGGGAGAGAGACAGGATTTGCTAGACGCGCTTTTGTTTAGGTGTTTTTCTTTATACGGTTTTATAAATAGGGTGACCAGAAGTGGTTTGGAAGAGTTTTTTTTTGTGTTGATCAAAATTATAAGAGAGTTTTTTTTTCTTTCATTTGATAAAGGTTCGGCAGGTAAATTAAAACTGGATAGTGGCCGCTAAATCCATCCGGAGTGACCATATCACGAGACTTGCCGGAACGGAGGGTGAGTTTCCCTTACGGGGCCAGTGATAAAACACTTCTCCAAGGCGGAAGAGGATTCTCAGCGTAGGCAAAGAACTGCATAGCCGGTGACTCTACTCCGGTGCCAGGATATCCGGCGCTTGTTTGAAAAGGTCGGCTGAAGGTCGGCAAAGACATTTTGTTTTCGGTCGGTGAGTGGAAAACCTTTTGTTTCTTTATCCTTTGTTGGAAGTACCTTTCAATTAGGTTCCATTTTTTTCTCCTTTCCTTTCTGGTATTGGGTAATGACCATATTGTGCTGACTGCAGTCATTTTCTTTTTAGCCATTTTATTGGGGAACGAATAGTGTGCTTTTAAAAACTTTCCTTACATATAAAAAAAAAAAGAAAAAGAAAAATGAGTTCTTCTAACGTGGCCTTTACGATTGAACCATATCGTCGTGGAACCTCCTTCAACGATTGGTTTACTCGTTTGAAATATTTCTTCCGGGTAAACAAAGTGAAGGATGAAGACAGGATGGCCTATTTCGTTACGTTGAGCGGGCCAGTCATGTTCGAAGAAATCAAGCTTCTTTATCCGGCGGGAAATTTTGAACAGGCGGCTTTTGACGATTTGGTTGCCAAACTCAAAAGTCGTCTAGATAAAATAGATCCTGATTTAGTACAAAGGTATAAATTTAGCACCAGGGTTCAAAATCCAGACGAGACCACGGAAGATTTCGTTTTGTCCCTTAAATTGCAGGCCGAATTTTGCGGCTTTGAAAATTTTAAAAATGTCGCCATACTGGATCGCATTATAGCAGGGATAAAGGACAAAAGCCTTAGACAAAGGCTGTTAAGCGAGGAAAAATTATCCTTAGCAAATGCTGAAAAGTTAATAGCCACGTGGGAGGTGGCTAAGGCAAATGCCGGAACGGCGGATGGTCTTAAAAATGAGGGTTTGGTAGGAGCCATTGGCAAGGGATACGCGCAAAGGAAATGGGAAAGGACATACGAGTTAGCGCACCAGGAGGCAGGCAACAGCAGGGGGCCGGTAAGAAGCCGTTTGGGTTACACGCCTTACCATACGACGCCGCAAAGGAACGGAGGGAGAAATCCTACAACGAGTTCCGGTGAATTCAGATATGGGCAAAGGTTCAAGCAGGGGCATCGGCCGGATTATTCAGAGACGATATGCCATTTTTGTGGTATGAAAGGTCACATCAAGAAAAAGTGTTTCAAACTGAAAAACCTTCACAGAGATGCGGTGAATCTGGTCGATTCATATAGGCCGGGACCTTCAGCGGATAGGCACATCACAGAGCTGCTCGAACGGATGCGCACGGACGAGTCGGAGGAAGAGGAAAGCGATTCAGGTGATTTACAATGCTTGTTGGTTTCGTCCATTAATAAAATAAGTAATCCTTGTTTAGTACAAGTGAATGTGGAAGGTAAAGACCTGGAAATGGAAGTAGATTGTGGTTCTTCCGTTTCTGTTATTAGTAGGAGGAGA